TAGAAGCATGAGCCACCACACTCAGCCTCTTTTTACTTTCTTTATCTATAACTGAGCTGCATTGCTTTTAAAATTCTCCAAGTGTCTTATTGTCAATCTTCCATTCTCTATTTAAAAGAAAGAAACGGAGCAGATTCTGAGAGCTAAAAAGTTCAGCCATCTCCAGCATTCCCCAGCATTCTAATGATAAAAGTAGGCATGCCTAGTTAGGAGTACGGACTCCAAAAGTTCACAGATCTGTGTGTGTCAACCCCCATCTCTCCTTTAGTAACATTGTAAACTTGGGCAAGTTTCTTGTTCACTATAAACTGTGTTTCCATGTGCTCCACATCTGTAAGTAATCTTAGCAATATTGTGAATTAAATAAGATAATATATCTGAGTCACCTAGCACAATGTTCAGCAAATATTTATTGAGCTCATTCAACAGTCACTCTACAATATTTCTTGAACTTTTAATAGGTTCCAGCATTGTGCTGCACACTAGGAATACAGCGATGATCAAAACCAGATGTGGTCCCTACAGTGGTAAAGCCTTACAATGTACCCATAGCTATTCTCAGTACAATTCCCTTCAGAGAACTAAATATAAGGGATCCTGACTTCAAGCATAGCATTTAGAAAGGCAGAACAGTTTCTAAAAACTGACACCAAGTAGGGGGTAATGGTTTAGTTTGAATACAATGAAAAGATGTCATGCCCAGAACCGAAAAGGATACGTGGATGGCAGCCTCAGGTTGGATACTGAGCTCAAACTATGTCAGCTAGCTTATTGTTTATATGTGAAAGCAAAATGCAAATCACAATGAATTGGATCCCTCTGGATGCCAGGAAAAATAATGCCAGGGTGTTCTTTTCCATTTGGCCCATGCTCATTCATAGAGCCAAAGCCAGTTGTGAATCTTCCCTGGCATTGTACTTACCGGTTTCTGGGTACTAACTACACCCTTTGGGGCTGCAGAAGGCATGAGGCCAATTTGCATAATCTACACCCTGTTGTGTCTTATGATTCAAATAGGGAACATTTCTATAGCAGAGTAACCCACCCCTTCCCTCTATGCAGCTTGGATATCTTAATAGTCAGAAGTCTCTTCTCCTAGAGAACGCTCCCATTTCATTACCATTTCTCAACTCTTCCTTAAAATCATCCACATCTCTCAGTATTTTTTTTCTTCATCCCTTCAATACGTTGCTCTTCCCTGTGTCTCCTTATCCTCTTGCCATTGTTGCAGCTGCCAATTATATCTGCCCCTTCCCCATCTTCTTTCAATCACAGAACATGTATCACACTTCACCCCACCCTTCTGGTGGTGAAAAGTAGGGGTGAGAAGTGGTTTCAACCTTTGGTCAGCAACACTGTCAAACACTAAGGGATTTCTCAGGTGAAATGTGAAACTGGGAAACAAAAACTTCAGAGGATCCAGAGAGAGACATGGCTAGAAAAATCAACAGAACCCTACTGCAGGCAGCTTTTCTAGTTTTCGTGTCTCTTCCTTTTCTTAATGTCCTTAGGGGGAAAAAGAAGAAAACATGAAACGTGGTCTAAGAACAGAAACTTGTTACAGCATTTGAAGTTTGCACAGGAAACTTCAAATGGCATCATTGATTCGTGATCGTTTTTTCTTTAATTTGTGTAGGTAGAACTTCATAGCTTGCCTTTTTTACTTACCTTCTTCACTCTCGGTTCTAATCACAGAGTCATACAAACACAAATATACATACACACATACCCTGCAAGATAAATCCCAGCTCTTTGATTTTCATTAAACTGTGTGTGTGTTTATAGCTAATGTGTTTACAGTCACTTAGGTGTAAATATTCAAATTTTGGTGAGTAAAGGGAATAGCAATCCACATCTTCCTTTCTGTGAAACATTAATCGACTGAGATGTTATAAGATTCTTCTCAGAACAATGAAAAAAATGATTCATTCATTTCCTAACATATAGGAGTCCTTGGCGTTCTAAATTTTCAAAATCATGAAGCATGCAAATTTAGCCAGTTTCCTATATTGTACTTTCTGTGTCTCAAATAAAAGGAAAAAAAGACAGATACCCTAATGATTATTAGAGTAGTAGTCTTAAAACAGTTTTTTAAAATTTCAAATAGAGGACTTCTTGTCATGTCCTGGGAGTTTTTAAGAATAGACTACTCTGTTTAGTGAGCAAATATTTGAGGTTGAGTAAATATGTATGCTGTTTCCTAAACATTAAGAGTAAGAGATTGTATGTAAATAAATAGCTCTTTTTGGGGTGTGTGTGTGTGTGTGTGTGTGTGTGTGTGTGTGTGTGTGTGTGTACACAAAAGAGAGAGAGCGAGAGAGAGAGAGAGAGAGAGAGGAGGGTGGAAAGAGAGAGAAGAAAAGAAAGAAAGGGAAAGAGAGAGGTAAGTATCAAGGAAATAAATTTAATTTCAAATGGTTGCTTGCTCATAAATGCCTGGTTGACCCTGGAAATCTAACTAAGTCAACATTTTGAATATGAACTGTAGGGTTCACCAAAGTAGGGAACTCTGAAGGCACTGTGCTCAGAAGGCAGCACCTGGCATACTTTAATTGGAGTTATTCCTGGCTGATTTGCTTCCACATTGGGGAACACAGAAGAGAACACTTTCCTCTTGCCATTTGCCCTAGGCCCTTCTTTCTGACTTATGAAGAAATATTAAAAGAACTCATATGTACAACTTGAGTAAACAGTGACTAAGAGGGGAAATGCTAATTATGTGCAAGAGTTTAAAAGGTACATACACTGAGGAGAATGAGAAGTTATTTAGCCTGGTAACTGAATATTGCCAGGAGACACAAAAGCACATTAAGCAAAGGGAGATTTATACTAAACACTCAATCCCAGAATAATATACTACTTGGTGATGTGAGCAAGCTTGTGGAAATTGGTTGAGATGTTTAAAATACCAGAATAGTAAAATTTGCATTTCAAGTAAATATTTCTGCAAGGGCAGAAAATAATAAATAAGAACAAGAAAAGGACCCAAATTGTAGCCAAGGAACTAGTCTATGGGAGAACTGAAGCAGTAGGTTGTATGTCAGTTTCTGGCCTGAGAGCTTCTTAGGGTTGAGAGAGTAAAAGGAAATGATGGCAGGATCCCTGGGTTAAGAGCAGCCAGGCAACGTGAACAGAAAGAACTGGGGGGAAAAAAGGTGCCCCCATGGAGAGGGACACATTGGGGAAAAGGGAAGGAATGAAACAGAAGAAACTAAGTGCAATTTAGAATTTTGAAGCTCAAGATTCATATGATACATTTCATGCCTTGAAATGAGAAACTGCACTTGCTGAGATGAAAGAAATGGCATCGTATTGTGCTTGTGTCCACTGGGGGCTCTGTTGGTTGCTGAAACAATAACTCCACATGGTGAATAAATCCTTAGGACATGGCCAGAGATGGCCCTGTGCAGCCCTTCCACAGCAGAGTACTCAGCATACCTTTTCTTCCCCAGGAAAATAGTATTCTATTAGGATGGTTAAAAAGGGAGTGAATCTTTACGCCAGCTTCTCTTACAGAAATACTTAGCTGCTTTTCGATTTTTAGCTCCATTCTCTTAAGCCGTATGAAGGGTTGAATCTGACTTTAGTATTTGCTTGAATTTCTTAATTCAGTTCAACTAAGTCTCAGTTCCTTCAGGCTGCTATAACAAAAATAACAGAAGCGTATTTCTCACAATTCTGGAGGCTGGGAAGTTCAAGATCAAGGTGTCAGCCAATTTAGTGTCTGGTGATGGCCCACTTTCTGATTTATAGATTTTTTTCCCCCTTATGTCCTCACATGGTGGAAGAGACAAAGGACCTCTCAGGGGTCTCCTTTATAAAGTCACTAATCTCATTCACCAGGGCTCCATCTATATGACTTAATCAACTCCAAAAGCCCCGCCTCCAAATACTTTACAGATTGAATTTCACCATGTGAATTTTGGAGAAGCAAAAAGATAACTCAACCATTTAATGAGTGCCTAATCTGTGCCAAATGCTATGCTAGTTTGAGGGGATGTTATGAGTAAGGCATGGTCCCCTCAAAGCTTACAATCTGAAGTTTTGTAACCATCCCTAAGATTATCCTTGTTCTCTCTTTCTTCTACTGGCCTCTTTACCCCTCTGGGAACAAGGTTTATAGGAAACGTGGTGGTGGGAGGAAGAGATTCTAAAACATTCTGAAATCATCATTAACTATTTTCTCATAATAATCTACAATTATTCTCAAAATAAATAATACTGTCTTACTTTCTGTTTAACCTCTGCACTTCAAAATTTTAGTGAGCATACACCTATTTCAGCCTGCTAAATAAAAAAATAATGGTCAAATTTGTCATTAACCTTTAGGTTGTTTACACTCTACTAGGAGATTCTTAGCATCAAATTGTTGGCTTGGTTCTCAGTCCATAGATGCAAGTATACAGGAAACATTTTTTTTTCTTCAAACTCCAATCCTGCCCAGTTAATCGAAGAAGTTACCCTTTCTGAGATTTCTGTGTTATTGCCTACTACATTCCACTTCTATAACATGCACAATTAGATCCAGTCACTTGCTTGAATATTGAGAAGGGAAAAATACAGACAGGAAAAAAAATTAACCTTTTATATATAATACCCAGTTATATACTATAGACTAATTCTAAAGCATTTTCAGTAGAAGCATGTGCTAGATAATGTGCAGAATTTCAGAACCAAATAATGTTATAATCCTATAATGTTAATGTTATAATCTGTTTTTTGTTGGGATTGCAAAGTTTTTTCTGAAGTAGCAATATTGACAATTGAGAGAAGACTTGAAGCTTGAAGTATTCCAAACAGTTGTGTTATAGAATGTTATCAAAGAGGCCCTATATTCTACTGGGAGCCTAGTTAACAGGCTTAGTTGACATATTTAGACAGTAAATTTGTCTCTTTGCTGGCTGGCTGTTATGTTGATTTGGCCATCAGGGAATTTCCAGAAAATGAAAACAGCTTGTGGTATCTGAGCAGAGCTAATAATTGGTACCATTTAGTGTAGGATGACCAGGAACAAGATCCCATTATGGTGGCAAGACTGTTTTCTTTTACACTGTCCACAACTGCTCTATCCTAACCCAAGTAGCAGTGGAGGTTTGAAATATGGGGGTGAGGAGAGTTCAATTTAGCTAGAGTTAAAGTCCATGGATATGTCTGTTCAAGCTCTGACCGAGCTCTTTCTGTTGCCCAACCTCATTTCCTCTTCACTTTCTCTTTCTGCTTTTTCTTTTTCTCCCCCTCCATTTCCTCTTCCTTATTTCTCTCTCTGTCTCTTCTGGAAGAAAATCATTCAATCAATTATACTCCACATGAAGGGAAATTTAAACAAACTTGCTTACCTTGAGATTTCTCTACTAAAATGTACACATCCTACTTTGTAGATCTTTCCAAACAGGGCCTCCATATCCCTCATCCCAACTTTAAGCCAGTAACATTTAGCTTCCTACCCTAAGCTCCAGGTAACACAAAACACACCATCAGCAGCACATTCTCATGGATCTGACTCATGGCCTGACAGCCTCGATGACGACATAATTTGATACAGAGCAGAGAAACTACAACTGCAAGACAGGGTTTATCCCATGATCCTTGTGAACAGAATCTCACATAATGTGGAAAAGGGTAGTAGGTTCTCAAAAAAAGTCACTTCTTCTAATAATCACTTTTGTGTAAAAAGCACTTTGCAGCATAGTATAATTGATGCTGGTGCTTTACCCATATTCCTTCAAAGAGCTTTACAGCTTGCATATTTCTTCCCCGCTACCACTTTGTTCCAAACCCTTAACCAATGACTGATGGGTGTGGCCATATAAACACTCCAGCTCCTTGCATCATGGTCAGGACAATGTTAAAGTAGAACTTGGGCTATCCCCAAACCTTCTTGAAAGATTGAGCCAATGTTGCTCTCTGTGGGACTTAGCTTGGCACTGCACCCTGACTTGACTTCTTTCTCTTCCAGGTTCCATTTTTTTCACTCTCCTACCGGTTTTCCTGGGGACATTTCCTGCTCAATAACATTCACAAGACTTGTTGTCTGGGGGGCCTGCTTCTGTAAAATCTAATGTCAGACACAGTACATTGCCAAGTTACTGAAAAGCCATGCAGATGTATTGCTTTTAAAAAGAAAAATGAGGGGCTCTGCTGCATATTTTAGACTGTAAAAAACAATCGTGCAAACCTCTGTTTTTCAGGAAGAGAATTTGAAGGAGAAGAAGAATATCTGGAGATCCTCGGCATCACCAGGGAGCAGTCAGGCAAATATGAGTGCAAAGCTGCCAATGAGGTCTCCTCGGCGGATGTTAAGCAAGTCAAGGTCACTGTGAACTGTGAGTATGGCAGAAGCCAGCAGGTGCTATGTGCCCAGGGCACACCTCCACCTCCAGTGAGCTCTGAGGATCCCATTAGCAAAAAAGCACTGTATTTCAAGCAGCAAGCAAACACTCCTCTGGCCAGAGATACACATTTATACATTGAACACATCCAAGGGCAGGACTTGGCCTTTGAATTTGATAAATCAACTCTACCAACTCTAAATATAATCCATAATACATTCAACAATGCACTGTCTTTTACTCAGACTAAAGAATTAAGAAAACATGCAGACAGCACTAACATTTCCGACAGTCAGTATTCTGGAAATCAAGGTCATACTACTTTAGAAAAAGCAATAATTTGTATCTGCTTTAACTGGAATTTCCATCTTAATGCATTGTTTGTCAGAAGGGAATGACTTAGGATTATATTTTATCCTTTACTATTTAACTAATTGGTCTTGGGAACATATTTAAGTCACCGTGGTCAGATACCATGTGTCTCTGATGTCTAACAGGGATGCCTGATGAGTTAATTTTAGTTATCTATTTGTCCCAAAGTATGGGCATTAGAAAGAAAGATTTCACTAAGATGCATAGGTAAGTGGGCATACTTTGAACTTCTCAGATGAAAGGATTCTTAGATGTAGTTCAAAAGGGGGTGGGGGGAGGAATCATATGATGTGTGTCACCCAGCAAAGGAATAAAGAGAATTCGTTTAAACTGTTCAGTTAGGAGTGACTTTCTACATCATTCAAATTCAAGTTCCTACCTCACACAATTGTGGCTAGTGACAGGGACAAAGGGATGTTCTGACTACTCTTCCCCTCTATGTGTTAAACACATACACACCCTACATACACACGTAGGTATACATATATTCACAAACATCTTAACCTGTATTTTTATCCTTTATTCTGTAATGAATTACTTTCTGTCATATCAATTTCTCCATGCAGTTATCTGTGTGCTAGAGATTCTGTATAAATTCTTTCTGTTCTTCTCAACAACTCTGGCAAGATAGATATAATTGAATCCATTTTAGAGTTTGAGAAACTGAAGCCCAAGGAGGTAAAATTGCATATTTAAAGAAACTCAGAAAACAAAGGTAAGAAAAGGGATTCAGAATCAAGTCCACTTGATTCTAAAGCTCTTGGGAGGAAGAAAAGGAGAAGAAGGAATTTTCAGTTCTTCATAGGGACTATGTGCAGCATTGGGTTAAGGGATTCACATTTGTCTTTTAATCCTCATAGTCATTTAAAGCTAGGAGATAAGCATTTAAGCCAGGAGTCATAGCGCAACTGTACCTCCAGCTACTTGGAAGGCTGAGGCAGAAGGATCACCTGAACCTAGCAGGTCGAGGCTGCAGTGGCTGTGAGCATGACACTGCACTCCAGCCTGGGTGACAGACTCCAACTGAAAAAAAAAAAAAAACAGAGAGATAAGCATCATTAGTCTTACTTTAGAAATTTGGAAACTGAAGCTTAGAGAGCTGAGGAAACTTGCTAAAGGTGACCAGCCTGTGCTGGGATGCACTGTTACCTGGGGCCTTGTTCCAGCCTTGTGATCCTCTAAAACAAGCAGCAAAATCTCCTTCCCACCATACCTAGAAGAATCCAAAGATAAGACTCTGCTGTACTTCATGGCACTTATTTCCGAGAAGCAAGGGGCTGCATTTCATGAGCTCTGAAGTGCTTCTATCCCTAGCTGTCTTCAATTTTTTTACTAATAGAAATGCCAGTGTTACTATTCTTTTCTAGTGCTGGGTGTGTTTCAAAGACACATTAATGATCGCAACGTTGTAAAATGCTTTAGGACCTTTTTTTCACATGAAAGGCAACTTCTCTGGATGTTTGTATAAGTTTATAATTAGGTTCGCTTCTTTTATGTACACATAACCACGCCATCATCTTCCATCTCTTTCCTGACTTTTGGAGTCAAGATTCATTTTCTCTTAATTGACCTTCATCTTAATTAGATTTCTGAAAGTCCAACTATAGAGTACATAGAAAATATTTATGCTTCCATTGTGTGAAACATCAAAGTGGTCTGGATTGCAGATGGTTCCCAAGATCAAAGCTACCATCTGAGCCCTATTATTATTAGCACAATTAGTCTGACATTCCTCCTTTTTGACTGTCCCCAAAGTGTAATTTAGAACAGAAGAAAATAATTTTTAAGAAAATACTTATATGAAAATGTGAGCATTTGCTAGTGATGAGTGAGCTGCAGAAGAATAGAGACAGAGCTTTGAGATTCTAAAATGACACCTTGTAACAAATTGTGTGGAAAACTAGAATGAGTTTAGTCAAACAAACAGTAAGTTCTAACCAGCAGGACCTAGAACGTGCCTGACTTTAAACAAATTGCTCCATAAGTTTTTACTGAAGTAGGTGAAAAACTCACAGGAAAACTCTTTCCTCTTAAGATTCTCCAAACTTTTCAAATGATATGATCACAAATCAGGAAGAATATTCTAATGACAATTTCCTTTGAAATCACCTTTTTACCAAGACTTCCTAAACTGTATTTACATTATATTAAAACTAGTCATCCCACCAGTTGTCCTATTCAAACAATTCAGCTTACTTAAATATAGTTGCATTAACTAGATGAAGTCTCCAAGATTGAATTATGGAACTAGGTCTGCCTAGCAAGACTCTTGCATACAGAGAAATGTCCAGGATCATCTTTGCCACTTCGTCTACATCTGCCTGCTGTGAAATGTCCCATTGTTTAAAATGGTTTATCTTCCTTTTCAAAACAGAGGCTTTGGAATTCTGTCAGAGGATCAGGATGGCTAAGATTACTTCCTGAATAGATAATTGTAATGAACAGACCCTGAGTACTACTTTAATAAAAGAGAAAGAAAGAAAATCCAGTGCTGGTAACTTTCTCCCACCAGCACTTCATTGACTCATGTATTCAGTTGCCAAAAGATATTTGTTACAGGGCACTGAGACTGAAGCAGTAAACAAGAGACAAAACAGTTTCTTCTGTTGAGCTCATTATAGTCTCTCCTTTTACTTCTCTTGGATAACCCTTCTCCGCAGTAGCTCTACAGCATTGCACATAGCCATGTTTACATGCAAAATCTATTTTCTAAGTTCTAGGCGGTCCTGAAATTTACAGAAAACTAAAATATTCACCCCAAATCTCCTCAATTTAAACTCAGTAGAATTTATGCAATAGACAGGACTTTCTGTATCTTCCACAGCATAGCTGCTAATATAAGACTTGGGGCAATCTGTTCTTTCATTGCAGGTTCTAGGTGTAATTCTTCAATCCTAGTTATCATAGTACATTAAAAGTAACTACTGTACTTTTGAGTTTGTCTCACACTAGTGCCCAATATACCTAGGTTAATATCTAGCACATAGTAAATGTTTAATAAACACAGACTATTAAGTGTATTTTGACTCTTTCTGTACTGAATTTTTTGGCTATTCCTGGAGAAATTCTTCTCCAAATCTACTTACAGCTTTCAAGCCTGCCCCATGCTCCATTGACTGGCTAATGTTCCCGTCATCAGCCTTCCCACAACTCTCTCTCCAAACAAGTTCACAATGTCACTCTTTACAACTTCTTTTTCTTGTACTTGTCTTTCTCCACCTTGGTTTCCAGAGCTGACCAACCCAACCAACACAAATAGTGAGGGACATGGAATGTTGACATTTCTAAATGTAAGCTCTCCCTTATATTTGATAGCCATTTATTTAGGGGAAGCAGAGGTTACCACAGAGTACACAGTTGGGGCTCAAGATGCCTGTTGCCTCCAAATAATATATATGTGTTTTAACTGAGTTTTCAGTGTTTTGATTCAAAACTATGTAATGAGGAAACTTTGGGAAAATAACTACTCAATATGGAACCGGAATGACCATCTTCTCTAGCTATTCACAGCTACACCTATCTAGTCTCTATGCTGATCTTTCATTTATTCTTGCATTTGGGAAGGACACATGCTAATATTTATAAACCTGTTATGAGTTCTTCAGAAAAAATACCCAGAAAGAATCCAGAGTGCTATAATTTTCTACTGTAATTTCACAATATGGACAAGAACCATAGTTTTCTGAGTACCCTCAGAGTATCAAGACTATCCTAGAGATTTCATATCCATTCACTGGAATCACCATACCAACAGTGGCCACCCAGGTGGATTGGTCCTAGTCTGCTCCAGCAAGGAGAAACATTTACTTTATCACTGGCATCATTTAGTGTTGCTTAGTTTGGTTTTATTGGTACATTGTGATTTTTTTTTTAAAGACAACTTTAAGTCAACTTTAACTTATTATTGTTTCTAAGTTCTCTAGAGACAATGCCTTTTTTATAGCTTGTACCCTCCCTCTGCCTCTGTTGCCTTGTTTCACCACTGTACACTAACCCTGGGAGATAACTGATATCATTCCCATGTTGAGAGAACAAAAACAAAGCTCAGTAGATGTCATCATTCTCTGCCACAAGATCAAAGAACTTGTGAGTGGTAGACTTGGGCCTCTAACCCAGGTCTAACTCTGGAGTCCTCTCTCCTTCTGTGACACCAAGTAAAGAACTGTACAATAAAATAACAAATATAATCATTTTAGATGTTAACAAGTACTCTCATATGAATGGCTTTATTTGATATTTACATTAAACCTGTGAGATAGGTAGGCAGGTGTCATCATCTACATTTTCAAGTGAGGAGCTGCAGAAAGACATCATATCTATTGATGACAACCTAAATGGCACAGGTGGAAATTGAACCTGTACCTCCTGACTTCTAATGTAAGTTTATATCTTCCGTGTCCCTGCAGGCTGTGCCATTTTTGGTATCCTGGAAATAACAGAAATATGCAAAACTTACTATTCCAGCACAGTCTCCTGAATGACATATTTTCTTTTAGGAATAAATTGTTCTCTAAAAAGACTAATTTAAATAGAAGTACCAGGGAAGAGAGGTTCACAGAATGGATTTCAGAATATGATCAACCTGAGTTCAAATTCATACTCCACCAAATACTGACTATGTG